AGAGTTAAAAGAAAGAAAGAAAAAAGGAAAATAAAAAGAAAAAAGGAAAATAAAAAGACCAAAAGGTCTATTTTTAAAGAAAAAATAAATAAAAAAAATATGAAAGAATAAAGATAATAATAATATAAAATGATAATATTAAAGAAATTATTAAAATATAAAATAAAGATAAAAGAAAACAATGAAATATAAAATAAATTCATTTTAATATAAATCATTTAAATAATTAAATAATAAAATTATTTTATAATATTGAAATATTTCATAAATATAATAAAAATGAACAAATAAAAGAATAGAGAAAAATAAATAAAAGAATAATAAATAATAAAATAAAATAATCAATATATTAAAAAGAAAAAAATAAATAATACATATAAATAAAAATTATAAAAATAAAAATGAATAAAATAATTTGCATAAATAAAATAATGATAAATAATTTGCATCAATAAATTAAACGCTTTTTTATTTCATATTTCTAATTTCTGTAATAAAAAAGTGCATCATTTATTTCATCATTCTTTTCATCATTTATTATCTCATTTTGAATTATTCATTATTATCTTCTTTCATTTTATAATCTCAACATTCTACTTTTATTCTTTTCATATTCTTCTACTTCCTAATTTCACTTTTTTCTTTCATGTCCTTCTTTTTCATCATTTCTCTTCCTTTTTCTCTTATTTCCTTTTTTTCGTTGCCGTAAATATAATTTAAATAACATAGAAAGTTTAAAGTGAGCTTTGTTCTTATACTATTTGAGAACCAAATTGTATAAAATTAACTAGCTCATTATTGAAAAATAGATTTATTGAATTATATGAAATGAATAATGATTTAATTCATAGTTTTCTTATATCATAAATCAACAAATTGATTTTATATTATTCATTTAAAACAATGAACTAAAAAGTTTTTATTCGTACTGAATAATATATTCTTTGTTTATAATTTCTTTATCAAGACGAAAGAACAAAATTTGTAAGTAGTTGTTTTTACTAGAACCAGTATAATACCTCAATTTTTAAAATAAAAAGTTTATATTATTGTCATACAAATGTTGACTATCAAAATCTAATAACCATTACTCATTCTTAAATTATTTGATATCATGACTTTAATTTTAATAGCTAATAGATTTTAAATATTTAGAAACGATCTAAACTTTCTAAGCAGTTTAAATAATATTTCTCATAATCAAACTCTATAATTTCTTATCAGCAAAACATTTCTATATAATTTAGACATTAACAACAATAATAAGAATTCTTAATTTTTGTTAATCCTATAAAATAATATACCATCAAAAAAGTAATGATACTCATATTTATTTAATTAGTTTATTTATTCTTATATTAAACTAAAGTTATACTTATTGTTATATCTTTAGTATTGAGCCTCGCTACTTTATTAATCAGTTCTTCATTATCAATACTATTTTTATATTTTATTTTGTTTGTCATAAGGCATACACTCAATAACTGTAAAAAAATCAAATCTTATTAATTACCATATTCGATTATTTAAAGTGTTACAAAAAAATATTTAAATTATAAGAGTTTAATTTAAATAATAAGTTGCGAGTATTAAAAAAACTAATAATCCACTGAGTGAAACATATAATGCTTTTTGTAATACTCATTTCGTTAATTTAAATAATAGTTGTAATAAGTTTAGATAAAGGTGTTTAATAATGAGTACAATTAAAAAGAATAAAGTATATCCATATTTTAGAATAAGAACAAGTTTTTAATATAATAATTTTTTCCTTTTTTTTTTAAATTTAACCAGTTGTTATGAGAATTTATTTTAATAGATTAAGTAAAAATAAGTTTACCATGATTAATAAATTGAGCATAAACAATGTCATAAAGACTCTTTTAAGAAAATAACATAACATTTAACTTTATTCTATTTTTTAATTCTTAATATCTTTGTTTATTTATAGTTTTCTCAATAAAAAACTTTTTAATTTTTGGAAGAACTAAAAAATGATGAAAAAGAATAATCAATGTCAACACCATACTCAAGTATTAGAAATATTATCAAAGAAGGATGTGTAGTAAAACAAGGTCACATTATATGGAACTGGTATAATAGATGGTTGGTATTAACAAAGGAACAATTATATTATTATGATGAGTCGAAACAAAAGTTAAGAGGGACAGTTCCTCTTGACTTTGCTTCAGTCAAAAGTTGTGAAATAGTAGACCATCCATTTTCCTTTGAAGTTTATTGTCCAGTACAAAATAAAACATATTTCTTTGAGGCTTTGAGTGAGGAAGAAAGAGCCAGTTGGATTAAAAAAATTTCTGAAGTTGTAGATATCAGTGAACCTACAGATTATCATCATTTAACCCATGTTGCATATGAAGAAGGTGGGTTTGTTGGCATTCCTTATGAATGGGAAAATGTCTTTTTAGCTTGTGGCATCACTCGTGAAGAAATTAAATCAAATAAAGAAGACGCTATAAAAGTATTAGAATTCACACAAATTTTTCAAGACGACGAAACGGAAGAAACTCAGAAACAACCCCTTCCAGAAAACGATGTCCCAGTTTTATTAAGTTTGTTTTTTTTTCATTATTCAACAAAGTAACTATCTTACATTAATCTTGGACTTTTTATTTCTTAAAAAGGGTATTATACTCAATTTTTCATCAAGTCTTTGAAACTAAATAATATGTTACGAAAATTAATCTGAGGAAATAATTGATATACAAACTAATATTGATAGAGGAATTAATTACCAGTGGTGACCCAACAATGTTGTATAAAGATTATGTCCCTATTGGAGAAGGGATGAGCGGAGTTGTATTTCATTGTTATGAAACATCAACAAATAAGGAAGTTGCTATGAAAAAGGTCTTAATAAAAAATGATTCAGTTAACGTCCAAGAAATTAAAATTATGCAAACGTTAAATCAAAGAAATATTGTTGGGTATTTAGGATGTTATGAACTAGACAATTATCTATATATCGCAATGGAGTATATGGACCGAAATAATTTGACAGCAATGTTGGACTTTTTCCCAGAGTTTTCATTAAGCGAAAGACATATTGCTTATGTTGTACATGAGTCGAATGCAGCATTAAAATATCTACACTCACTTCATAGGATTCATAGAGATATTAAGTCTGATAATATTTTATTAAACCATAGGGGTGAAGTAAAGCTTGCTGATTTTGGTATTTCTGTCCAACTTACAAAGAGAAAATCCAAACGGAACACTGTTGTTGGTACCCCTTATTGGATGGCACCAGAAGTGATAAAAGGAAAAGACTATGGGACAAATATTGATATTTGGTCATTAGGTATTATGTGTAGAGAAATGATGGAAGGTGTTCCACCATATATTGATGATCCACCATTACGGGCATTATTCAAAATTAGTACAAAAGGGATTCCTCCTGTTCAGTACGGAGATTATACACAAACTATCCTTGATTTTGTTGATAAATGTTTAACTTTTGACCCAACCAAACGACCTGATTGTGAAGAACTTGACAAAGATCCATTTATGAGTTTAGCATGTTCACGAGAAGAATTTGCTGAGTTTATTCAGAAAATTGTTCAACAAGCCGAAAAATAACAATCATTTCATTATTCAATAGTAATTTTTTGTTATTCCTTTTTAATAGTATTAATTTTTATTATAATTTTATTATACTTTACTTCTTAATAAAAAATTATTAAACTAAAAATTAAAGCTCAATGGAAGTAACACAAGATAGCATTGCTCAATTATATGATGCATTGGATCCATTTCTGAATATTGTGTTAATGCAAAACAAGGATTCAGTAACAACCCCATGTGTATTGGCTTCTATGAATGATTTAGTTTATTCATTTTTTTGTGAGCATTATTGGGACGATAAAGGGCTGGTGATTAAGATGATTGAAAAGATTGTTTCAAGATTTAGTGAACAAAGATTTGAGAGGTTTAGATTAGTAACAACAGAAAATATAGTTTTAGCTTTAGAAAGTGAGTTTGTTATTTGGAAACGAGTGAGGAAATGTTTAACGATTACATTTCTATCAATTGATACATTAGTTCATGTAAATTATATTAATACAATTTTAAATAATTCGTATCGAGATTCTTTTGTTAAACAACTACAATCACAAATGAATCTTAGTAAAAAATTAATGGCTGTATTATCTAGTTGGAGAATGAAAGGGTTTATTGATCAAAAAGAAGAATTGGGTAGGATTTTTAAATACCTTGAAGGTTATGATACTAACTTTGTTCTTTTCTTATCTAATGAGTTTCTCCTTCAAGCCCAGAAAGATTATAAAGTTATGAGCGAGAAATTCCCTATTAATAAACCAATTCAATTACAAGAAGTTTATTCAAAGGAAGTTCTTCTTATTAATGAAACACTTCCTTTAGTAAAACGAAATGCTATTACTTATTTGAATAAAATCCTTCTTGCAGACCGTTGTGAAGATTTCAAATGTATTGGTAATACCCTTGGAAATACTGAAGAACTAACTGCATTAATTGAATTGGCTGAAGTTAGTGGAATCGAAGAGAAAGTATTTATTTTTCTAAAAGATGGTGTCAAAGAAAAAACAAAAACTCAGCTTGAACACTATTGGTCAGATGATGCTGTTCGTCTTGGGGATGGTATATTAGAATTCTCAAAGAAAATTGATAAAGTCTTACCGGTACTAAAAGGTCAATGGATAGAATATTTTAAGAAAGGAATTTCAGAAGGAATACTTTCTCTTGACCCACTTAAAAAATCTCCAGATTTATTAGCTATTCTTCTTGCAGAATATTGCAATCATATTGTCTCATCTTTTTGTACTAGTGAAGAAATTGGATTAATTTGTGACTTTATTTCATTACTAAATAATAAAGATATTTTATTAATTCAATATGCAAAGTATCTTCCAGATAAAATTATGTATGGTGATGAAATTAATTTTGAAACAAATAGCTGTTTTATAAAACGATTAACAAATTTAATTGGAAAGGCATTAACATATCCTATTCAACAAATATTGTCAGAACTTCAATCCTCTCAAATTTTTACTCAACAAATCTCAAAAGTTTTACCTATACAAACCAATGTAAATATCCTTTCAAGTCAGAAACTTTTTAGATCTCCTTTTGGAATGAAGCTCCCCCCAGTGATTGACCAGTCTTGGAAAATTATAAACGACCAATACAATTCTATTCATGAAAAAAGAAAATTAGTTCTTTACGATAATTCTTCTATTGTCGAGTGTGTCATTAATAAATGTAAAACTCAAATCCCATTACCTCATTATTGTGTATTATTATTATGTCAAAGTGAACAACGGAGTGAGGAAATAATCAGTAAAGAAAATAAATTTGATATTGAGACAACTCAATTAATAATAGAAGACCTTATCAAGTCTCAATTACTCATTACTAAAGAGAATAAAACATTTCTTTTTAATAGAGAATTTAATAAAGCAGGTAATTTAAAGATAATGTGTAATTTTAAAAGAAAGAGTAAAACGGAAGAAATAAAAAAGGAAAATGAAGAAGTAGAAGAAAGAAGGTTCCAAATGGTTGTTTCTATTTTAGTAAGAATAATGAAAAGACTAAAACGAATAAGTTATCAAGATTTATGTCGTTTAACCATTGATGAATTAAAAAAGTCATTTGTTCCAGATCTCCGTATATTAAAAAGGGGGGTTGAATATATGATAGAAAATGAATATGCCCAACGAGATGAAACTGACAAAAATACTTTAATTTATATGGTTTAAACAAGTCGTTAAAAAATAAATTATTATATAAAAAGAAAGAACTTCAAAGTTAAAAAAAATAACTTTCAGAGTTAGTAAATAACACCATCAGCACTTACAGCTGCAACAGCAACTATAACAGAAATAATACTGATAATGATAGTTAATGCAATAGACCCTACAATAAGAATAGTATAAAGAATAAGTAAAATTTTCGATAATTTAACCCACTTCTTTGTATTATCATTTGTACTATCTCTAAACATAAAAATATTTATGACCCATGTTAAGCAAGTGAAAAATCCTAAAATAAATAATAGCATAGAGGTTTGTTCAGAATTTTCTTGAGAAGAATACGTTTGTTGTTGAACAAACCCTTCTTGATATGATGCGGGTTGAGTGTATACTGGTGGTTGTGTATATTGTTGATTATATTGAGGGTCTACAACAATTGCACTAGCTAATGGAGTGTATTGTGTTTCAGTTGCCATTATTTTAAATATTTCTTAAGATAATTTAAGTTTTCTTCTTTATATTTTCCACAATGTTCTAATTATTTCTTATTTCTTCTTTCTTTGACTTATACATCTGTTTATCCAGAATTTTTTTGTCATTTTATTTAGTTGATTTGTCCAGTTCTTAATTTTTATTATTTTGTAAAATCTATTTTCTTGCTTTTCTCATATTACTATTCTCTATTCCTTTGGACATTTTTTAATTTAATGCATATTTATCAACCTATTCTCACTTTTGGGTGTTCAGTTAGATAAGTTCTTTTGCACATGTTTCTTATTTGTAAGTTGGTTCTAAGAAAATTTTAGTAGAAGGGTTTGTAGTCAATTTGATTAAAGAAGAGTTTTTTGAACAATAAAAAGTTTAGGTAATATTAGGTGTATTAATTATGAGCACTACATGTAACAATTTAATTTGTTTTCACATTATAATGTTGTAAAGTAAATAAAACAATTTCTTTTTAATTTAAAGTATAGCATTTTCAATAAAAATTGATTAATGTTTATTCTTAAAACAAAGAAAACAACAGAAGAACCTAACAAGAAAAATGTTATATCTCAACAAACTAAAAAAGATTGTTTGTTTTATTAGGTCATGAATTTTCTCATTCAAATATCAAAATTATTCTTGAATTAATAAATGTTTTCTTTCTTCTTGTTCGAGTTTTTGTAGTATTACTTTTTTTTAGAATAAAATTTTTCTTTAAATGTTTTCATTAATTTTAAGTAGTGTTGTTTTGTAAATTACTTATTAAAAATGATATTCTAATAATCTCTAGGGCCTTTTTAAACAAATGTACTCTTTTCTAAGTCGATCGATCATTTTCTTTTTGTTCGAAATTCATTTATCTATACTCCTCTTTATTTTTATAAGCAAAAATCATCGAAAATCCTTGCTCTAAAGATATATTATAAATACATTTAAATAAGTTACTAAACAACATTTATTTGAAAGTTACAAACTTAGTTTTGGTCATTAATTATAAGCAGTACTCTTTAAAAATAATAATTACAATAGATTGAACAAACAATATCTTTAACAAAAGAAGAAGTGTTATTAATGAAATAATAATTAAAATAGCATTAATAATTTTATTATAAAATAAAGAATATTTTTATTTTAGTTGAAATAAATATAAAATGTTATTTTAAAAGAATTCAAATTTAATAAAATTTATAATATTTTTACTTTTTAAAAAAAAAGATTTGAAAATGAAAGAAGTAAAAAATAAATTCATTTGTTTTAAGTTTAAGGTAATTCAATTGTATCACATTTAGTAATTCCATGATGTTTTTCAAATGGACATCTGAATATATTTTTACCTGGTTTATGAATTAAGTCGTGATATTTTCCTCCAATAAAATCATAACATTTTTTTGGAGCTTGTTTTTTCCAATACTTCTTTCCACAAATAATACGTGCTATTTTTCTTTTTCTTAATTCTTCATTTTGTTTCATATTAGCTGTTTTTCTAAATCTAATACATCTTTTCTTCCATAACATATCTCTTCTTTCCAGATACATTTTTTTTAAATTCTTTTTTAATGCAAGAATTCTCTTTCGTCTCATTCTTTCTCTCATAGTTTTCATTCTAATAATTTTAGCTAATGTCCTTTGATTTAAAATATCTTTTTCAACTCCACTTAATTGCATTTGATGTTTTAATTCTTGTTCTTCTAATTGTCGTATCTTTAATTTAAATTGATTAATTAAACTTCGTTTTTCATTAATTTCATCAGCTTTTTCAAGTAACATCTTTCTAATTAATAATGCTTTCTTTTCTGCTTTAACTTTTTTGATAACTTCAATACTTCTTTTATTATACTCTTTTGCAATTTTACTTAATCTTTTAACAAGACCTCTTGCTTTACATTCTAATGACTTAATCTTCTTTTGTTCTTCTAATTTCTTTTTATAAATTCTTTCTTCTGCTGCAAGTTTTTTACTTAAAATATCTTTTAATGCTTTAATTTTTAAATACCTCATTTTTGTTCTTTCTGATCGAATTGTAGCTGTTCTTATTGCTGCTTTTCTTTCTCTTCGTGACTGAATTCCTTTTTTTGTGATTTTGATATTTGTTTCTATTTCTTTTTTAGCATTTGCTACTTCATTCATTAATTCAGTGGCTTCAATCTTTCTCTTTCTTTTCAAATCTTCTTTTTGAAGCATTAAATTAACAGCTTTGTCTTTAAGATCTTCAATCATTTTAGCTTTTTCTTCTGCCTTTTTCATTTTTTGTTGTTCTAATAATTTTTTATATCTAATTCCTTCTCTTACAATTTCTCTTTTAATTTCTTCTGCTTTTCTGAGATTTAATAATTGTTTTTGTGTTTCTTCAATAGTTAATCGTTTCATCTTTCTTTCCATTTCAACTTCTGTTCTAAATTTTTCAAATTCTAATGCTCTCATCTTTCTTAATTCCATTTCTTTTTTCATTAACGCATCTTTTCTTAACTTTCTTTCTTTATCAAATTTTTCTAATAATCGTTGATGAGCAATTTTAAAAGCTTTATCTTCCTTTTCATGTTGTGCTTTTATTTTCTTTTCCATTTCTTTTCGTTTTTTATTAAGTGCTTTCTTTAATTTTTCTATTTGAACCCTTCGTCTTTCTGCATCAATCTTATCACGTAATTGAATTTTTCTTTGATATTCTATTCGTTTCATTTCTTCTTCTGTATAATTTTTTAATGCAGCAACATCGTTTTGAGTTTCTACAAAACTTCCATTGGCACGTAACAATGCTAATTTTGCCTCTTCGACTTGTTCTCTTAAGTGTTCTCTTTTCTCAAAGTCTTGTGATTGTGCTTTGATTTTTTTCATTCGAATTTTATGCTCCTTGGCAAGTTCTTCGGTTTGTTGTAATAATGCCTTTCGTGCTTTTTTTGTTTGTTCTTTTAAAGCATTTCGTGTAACTTCTGCATCAGCAAGTTCTTTGATTAGTTTTTGTGTTTCGTTTGTATTTAATGGATCGGCTTCAACAACAGGAATAGGTTTTGAAGTGTTTGTAGCATCGTTAATCAACTTGTCAATAGAAGATTGTTTTTTTTCTGTTGCATTGACTTTTGGATTTGCAGATACAAGGACAACTAATAATACAAAATACAACAACTTCATGTAAATAATATAAACTTTTTTAGTTGTTGAGATCTTTTTTTCTTTCTTTTTTGTTTTTATCAATACTTTTTTTTAATTTTTTTTAGGTTTGTGTTTTGATTTTTAAATAACAAAATTTAGTAATGTGTTATTGAATTTTCCCAAAATAAAAAGTTCTTTTAGTATTTTTATTTTGGTAAAAAATCAAAATGAATAATAATAAAAAATCGGGAAATTAAGTAAATTAGAATAAAAAGAACTAAAAAAAATAGGAGATGTTCTCATAAAAGAAAGCTCAAAAATCAACAAGAGAGAATCTATTAAAATAATAAAAATAATTAAAAAAAACTATCTAATACAATAAAAAAATGACAAAAAATTGTTCTAAAAAAAACCAAAAAGCAGAAAAGGAATATTGAGATGATCTAAGAATTATATTATATTATGCAAGCTGTAATTATCCTTATAATTGCTGTCAGTGCTTTTGCCGCACCAAAATGTGCCCAAACTAATGTGGCTAATGTTGTGAGTGATTTAAATCCAAAGCAACCAGTGGGAACAAATGCTCTTGCTATAGAAATGTATAAAAAGGCATTGTTAAGTGAAGAGGTTAAAATCCCAGCAGAAAACAGAACTGAAGCTATTAGAGATAGACTAAACAGAATTAATAATTCTACTTCAGTCAATAAGACTCAAGAAGTTAATGAACAAATAGAGAAGATTAATGTTAGTATTAAGACTATTGAAGAAGAAACTGCTAAAGTTAATGCATCAATTATTGAATCATTTAAGAAAATTAATGAAACACAAAACACTGAAAAGATGGAATTAAAAGCTAAGATGGAAGAGATTGCAAAAGAAAGAGCCCTTATTGATTCATTAAATAAGAAGAAAGAAGAATTAAGAAAGAAGAGTATAGAATATTATAGACTTAAAATTACTGCAGAAAAGATTGTAGAAGCACAAGCAGAACAAATGAGAAATAGAAGAAGATTTATTAGAGACTTAGAAGAATCTAAAAAAAGAGTTGACGAAACAAATGAAGCACTTGAAAAAGTAAAACAAGAAGAACATAAAAAAAGATTAGAAGCAATTAAAAAAACAAAGGAATATTTAAATAATTTAAGAGGACAAGACGCTGCACAAGAAATGAAAGAAAGAGAAGAGAAATTAAGAAAAGATAGAGTTGCTGAAGTAATTAGAAGAAAGATGTTAATATTACAAGAACAAATTAAAACTGCTAAAATCCAAAATAATGAAGAACAAAGAATTCAATTAGAAAAACAATTACTTGAATTAAAAAGATATAAAAAAGCAAAAATTGCATGTGCTAGAAATGCTCTTAGAAAATATAAATTAGAAAATCAAAAGAAAGTAGAAGATTTAAAACAAAAAGTACTTGATACTAAATTAAAGAATACATTGGATATTGAAAAGAATGATTATTTAACTAAAATTAAAGCAGAATTAGCTGATGAAATTGATGAACTTAAAAAACAAAAGACAGCTTTTGAAACTGAGAAAACCATTGCAGAAAAGAAAATTGCTAATGATATGAAAATTGAACAAGAAAATTTAAAGGCTGCTCAAAGAGCCCAAATTAGAAAGAACTTTGCTTATAAAAATAATAGAAAAGATCTTGCTAAATTAAGAAGTGCTGTTTTAAAACATGAAAAAGAACAGTTAGAAAGAGCTGCAACTAAACAAATTTTAAAGAGTGTCATTAAATCTAATAACAAAAAAACTGCTTTAGACAAAGCTGCTAATTTGGATATTCTTATGGTTAAAGCTGAAACCGCTAATAAAAAGAAAATCCTTCAAACTATTTCTGATGGAATTAAATCCACTCTTGAAACTGAAAAGAAAGCTCTTGAAGGACTTAAGAATTTAGCTGTTAAATCTAAAGAAGAAAGACAAGTACTTAAGACTCAAATTGCTCGTGACATTCTTGTAGATGCTCATAATAGACACTTGGCTGAATTGAAAGAAAGAAAACATGAAATTGAAGAACTTGTTAAAGAGAAAATCGCTAAAAGAAATAGAAAAGCTGCTTTGAAATTAAATAAAGCCCAAAGTAAAATCGCTCTTGCTGGATTACAAGGAAAATTAGATAAGAAATATATCCTTAAGAGACAAGAGGTTGCATTGAAAAATGCTAAGGCTTTGTCTGATGCCGTTAAAGGACTTGTTCCAAAGAAAGGAGATAAGTTCTTAAAATTAAAGAACTTCAAAGTAAATTGTGGTTCATTAGCTAAGAAAATGTCAACCCCATGCCAAAAAAAATAAACAAATTCACGTAGAGATACATTGAGATTTATTTAGAATTCTTTCTCTTTTTATTTATGTTTTATTTACTACTTAAATATTGTTATTTATATCAAATAATTTTATATTTTTAGTTTATTATTGTTTTATGGAAGTTTAATTTGTTATATCATCTTTGTTTATTGAACTAATTTTTTTAAAGAATTGATTTTTAAGTCTTCTGTTTTATTGAAATAATTACCTATGGAGTGTGTTAGACAAATATAATATATTAAATAAATCAGCACTTTTGTATGCCATAGAATAAAGTTGCTTACGTAAAAAATTGTTGTTGAAAAAAAGTGGAATAGTTTACGACTTTTGAGTATTGTCATACTAAAATAATTTTGGTTGAAGTAACAGAACAAGTGGTAGGTAATTTTGTTGTTTGATAATTTTTATGCTAAAACTATATTCACAACTTTCTCCTTTTTCATAACAAGAAAAAAACTAAAAACAAAACCTTCCTTATTTTTATTCATAGTTTATTAAAAAATAATAGATGTACTTTGATTCAAATTGGAGAAAACGTAATGAGTTTATTCAAGATAAAGAGTCAAGACAAGTATTGTCTTAAATATAAAAAATATATTATTTATTTTCATCTTTTCTTTAGTATTAATTTTTTATCTATTTGTTCAAACTATATGTTTATAGTAAATATATTTATAATTTATCATATATTATAAAAAAACCAAATAAAAACTTCATAATCACAAAAGTTTTTGAACTCTTCTTATGACAGATGTGGTATTGAATATTGTTAAGCTCTTCCTTATCACACAGCCCCCACTACAACCAATTATCAAAGGCCACTACGAAGAAATCGTTCAAACAAAGTCATCAGAAGAATTATTTATTATTGTTTTTCCTTTACAAAATAAGTTCTTTCTTGACGCAGACATTCCTTTTGAAGATAAGTTTAAGGCAGTTAATTGTTGTATTGAAGCACTAAAACCTGAAAATGCAGAGAGCATATTAAAATTGATTGAAATTAATTATTCGTTAACAAATCAAAATGGTATTATTCCAAAAGAGTGCATGTGTTTTGTTTCTGAAATGTTGAAAGATATAAGCAGTATAAGACGGTCTATTGAAACTTTACTAATTAATAACTCTACTTCTTGGAAAGAATTTCTTCAAACTCATTTACAACGTACTCTTTATTGCCAAGACTTTCTTAAAACTCAGTCCATCGTTCCTATTGAAGTTCTTCTTGAACCTACTGCCCCTCCAGCAGAAATTGCTGATAAACAAATTAGACTTGAATTGCAAAAAAATCAAATCATGGAGTTACTTCCTTTTGCTTCACAAGAAAAACTTGTAAATATCACAAAACAACTCCAAGTTATGGGTCACAAGGATACTTTAGATTATGAGTTTGAGATCGATAAATTTAATAGCGAAGAGGTACAACAATTCTTAAACATATTATGTAATTAATTATTGATTTATGTAATTGTTTATTTAACCAAAAATGTTTGTGATGATTATTGATTAAAAAATTTTCATTTAAGATTCTTTTTCTAAAAATAATAAATAGTACAAAAGAATAAATATCAAATAGTATGATTCATTTGTTTAATGCATCAAATGATATATGAAAGAGAAATATAAAAAGAGTTAATTTGATTATAAAATTAGTTATAGAACATTTAAATTTATTTAAATATGATTTTATATTTAAAATGAAATTTAATCTTCTATTATTCATGATTTACATATAATAATTCTTATTTCATTTATCTCTTCTTTTTCTTGTTATAATTCTTTATTTTGTTATTTTATGTATTTGAAAAATGATATAGTTATTTCTTTAATACTCATTCTGATTTTAAATTATAAATATTGTTAAACTTTTTTCTTTTTTTCTTTATTAATTTTCTTGATACATCTTTTATTATTTCTCTTATTTTAATTCTTAATCATTTGTGTTTGTTTCTTGTAATATTATAATTTGTATATGTTATTCTTTTATTTTATATTTCTTTTTTATCATTGATTATTTAAATTATCTTATTGTACTTCATCATCATTGAAATTACTGTTTGTTTAATAGTTCAATATTAAATCTTCTTTTCTGTATAATCAACGTATTGAATAAGTTAATAAATATATTTGAATTATTCATTTTTTTCTTTTCATTATCTATAATTCATTTTGAAGTTTTATTTCATGTGTTGATAGTAACAGTTAAATAGTATTAATCAATACTATATAACACAATATTAAATATCAATATTATTTATTTATATTTGTAATACTATTTCAATTAAATTATATCAACAATAGAAGAATGACATTGATGAAAAATATTAAATTTATTAATATAATCTTTTATTTCATGATATTTATAATCTATTCTATTCTTCTAATTCTAATTATTATCATTCATAGATTCTTTGAATAGATTTTAGTATAAGTTAAAAGTATTTTATTTGTATTTTTATGTTCAGAATAATAATGTTTATCAAT